GGACCCTCTTCATCGGCGGCGCCTTCGCCGCCTGCGGCTTCAGTGCACGAAGCTGGTCACCCTTTTTGATGGGTTTGGTGTTTTCCAGGAACGGTATTTTCAATGTAAACTTCTCCGCGCCGACCGAGGCGTCAACGGTGTGAAGCTTGATGGCCATGTTAGACTTCTTGGGGTCGGTCACCTCTTTGTCAATGAGCCAGTAGTGCGGCATGAACCCTTCTATCTTCGCCATCTTGTAGCTGCCGCGCGTGTTGTCCGCGATGCCGCCTGGATCATGCTTCTGCAGCTTCATGAAGATGTAAAGCTTCTGCGCGACGCCGTCCGCATTAGTGATCTCCGCGCCGACGTCGATGGCACCGTTTGGAGCTGTATCCGAGAAGGCAACTTTGGTCGAGAAGGGCGGGAAGATCGCGCTGGAGACATCGATGTCAACCTTGGCGTACACGCCGCGGTGCTCCGTGGGCTCCGTCACGATGTCGACCATCTCGCCCGCTGCCCCCTGTAGGTTACCCAATGCATCAAGCGCCGACGTCACGTGACCAACCAACACCATGCGCTGCCAGTCCGAGTTCGAGCGCGGGTCGCACCTGGCACTCCAATCGTTGATGTATTCCTGTTGGGATGGTGGGATGGGTTGCGGGGGTGGTGGGTTTGGGCGGGGCTGGGATGGGCGGTGGGGTTGGGGTAAAGGTGCGGGATGGAGAACAAAAGGAAAAGAGCACGTGGGCTGCGGGTGTGTAAGACAACCAAGCTCCATTGCCAAAATCGTTGCCCCCTCCCCCACCCCCTCCCCCTATAGTATACACGCCGCCCTCCTACGGCTTGCAAGCGTGGAAGGGGGAGAGCGCGGCGTCCTTCTTCGGCTCGCGTTTTGTGATCACCTTGAACTCTTGTGCACGCGGGGTGAGTAGCGATTTCAGGAGGTATGCCGAATCGACTGTGTAGTCGCTCCCATCGCCGATGCTCTGCAGCTTGATCTCATCCTCCTTGACTTCCTGCACCTTGTATACAGTTTTCATCTTGATGACCTCGATGTGGCAATTGGCGCTCACGCCCATACTTGCCAATTTGTGCATCCTGTCGGCGATTCCGCCTACGCTCTGCACTTGTGCAGAAGCCGCAGCTTGCTGCGCGGGAGCTTTGGGCGGGGCTCCTTTCTTCGCCCACGGGGATGTGATCTGCGTGCCTGCAATGGTAGCCAGGTCTTGCACGTACTCGTAGCCGATGTGGTGAAGCGACTCGAACTTTTGGCTCCTGGGGTCGGGCTTCTTCATGCAATGGTGCACGAGCCTCATGCCGAACCTGTTGATCAACGTCTTCACGGCCGCGTTGTCTTCTGACAGGTTGACAGTTTTTGCGATGTCTATAGCCATCGATTTCATGATGTCTGCCTGCGAGATCATGCGCTGCACTTCCTTGTTACTCGTGAGCTTAAGCCCGAAGTCACCCGATGCAAAGAGGTTCTGAAAGTCGCCCGATGCATACTTGCTGTCGGCGCTCATCATTGCCTTTACGCAATCAATGCGGAAGGGAATGCAGCCCAAACCATCCGAGCCGATCACTGCATCAGCCACCGCCGCCAAGACGGGGCCCTGCACAATGCGCGGCTTCTGGCACGAACGGTTGAAAGCCCGAAGCTCCTTCAAATTCGGTGCGTCTGGTCCACCAGCGAGCTTCCTCGCAAACGTCGCCAAACTCTGGATCTCTGAAACGAAATCTGGATTTCTGGATTGCGCTTTTGTTATTGCCCTACCCCACGCGACGTCGGGGTTCAAGATGTCGCCCTCCTTTTTATTGGCTTCGAAGTTGGTGACGATCTTCTGCACGTCCCCGTGCATCTTGAACAAGGTCTCCCACCTAGTCTCATTCATGGAAACCTTCTGCGCAGCATTTCCAGACTCCTGATTGAACGCGGCTAAAGCCAACATAAATGCGGGGGGGGGGGGCGGGGGCGGGGGCAATCGAAAAGTTAAAGGGTGGGCCATCGATTTCACAAACTTAAGCGGGTCCTGGAGCAAGTCTATAATGGCGCCGAATGCGTCTTCAGCCTGCCAGACAAGCACGTCCCATTCAAACCCCTCCTTCGCAGCATCTGCCAACGTGGGGCGCTTCAACCCGATCTTGTGGATGTCAAGCTTCCCGTCGGTACCGAACTCGACGTTATCTGAATCTGTAGGGCTGCCAAACTGAATGCAGCGGGTCGCCTGGGTCGTGTGCGACTTGCTCACGCTAAGGATTTTGATCTCGCCCTCGTCGTATGGCGGCAAGAAGCCGTGGGATTCCTTGACAAGGTCTCCGTTGAACTCGAGTGCCTCGGCGTGGCGCTCGTGAGATGGGGGTGGCATCTCGATGGCAAAGGGCACGCCCACCTCATCCATGCTGAACCCGTCGCTGCAAAAACTGCGCACCAGCGTGCGCACGTGGGATGGAATTATGCCATCGCCGTACCTGTTCCGCGGGTGCACGGCCACGTAGCGCCCATTCGTTTTCTGGCGCCTCAGCAGACCCTCCTTCCGCAACAATCGCACCGCCTGGTCGCGCAACTGGAGAATCGGGGGGCAATGGCTCAACGTGTACTCCTTGATGATGTCGAAGATCTGCTCCTGGACGCGCTCCACGCGAGCCTGCATGGTCTCACCCGCCATGGCCCAACTGCAATGCGCGAAACGCAAGGCGGGGGCTGCGCTGAACGCAAGCTTGCAAGGGTGCCTGAAACCTTTGTCTGGGCCAGCGGCAGCACAAATGCATGAAACAACTATTGATTTCGCAGCATGCCTCCCACGGCGCCCGCGCAATATTCCAGATCGGGCACCAAGGTTCTCTTAGGGTTTAGGGTTAACGACATTGGCGTCACAAGTGTTTTGGGCGTCCTGTTCAGCGCGCGCGCTGTTATATATATTGATTGAAAATGCATGCCCATACATGGCGTTAGTTTGCGTAACTGCAGTTATGTGGCACTTACGCGCCACTTATGTGGCACTTACGCGCCACTTATGTGGCACTTACGCCACTTACATAAGTAGCTCGTAAGTAACTTACGCTACTTATATAAGTAGGCCGTAAGTACTTATAAGTAGGCCAAAGTACTTATAAGTACTTACGCTACTTATAAGTAGGCTGCCCCTACTTATAAGTAGCTCCTAAGTAACTTAGCTACATATGAGCTACTTACACTACTTATGAGCTACTTACGAGCTACTTACACTACTTATCAGCTACTTACGAGCGACTTAGGAGCTACTTATAATTGGCGTAACTGCATAAGTACTTATAAGTACCCCCGCCGCGCGCAGTACTCTCCCACCCGCTGTCCTCCAACCACCCCGCCTGCTGTCCTCCTACCCCCCTACCTATCGCCCTATCTGCCGTCGTCGCACCAGTCGTCATTACCAGTCCTCCAGTTCTCCTGCTGGCCGTTCTCACACCCGTCCGCCTCTTCATCTGGGTGCGCCTGCAGTGGTCAGTAGCCTGTGTGTGCGTGCAAGTCCTTGTTGTGTACGCGGGCACGTGCGTGCATCCACTGCTGTGGTGCACACAAGCCTGTAATGCACAGGCCCTGCGGTCTGTGCAGTTCTGCGTGCGTTTACGGTGGGCCCAGGTGCGCGCTGCCAGGGTGCGCAGGCGCGCGCGTGTAATGGCGGGCGATCGTCGTGCAACGTTGGTCGCGGGCACGAAGCAGCTGGGCGCGCGCCCCCCGCCCCAGCCCCAATGCTTGGGCGAAAGGGAAGGGGGGGCGCGGCGCGGCGCGCAGCGGCGCGGGGCGACGCAAGCCCAAGCGATGGGCGCGAGGCGTCGCGCAATCCGCCCTGCTTGCATGGGCGAGCGCGCGAAAAGGCGCGTGCGCCGCCCAGGGTTGGAAGGGGCGCCACGCACGCTCGGCTGGGGGGGTGTCCCGCCACGTTCGGCGAGGGGGCACCTGCGGTGCGGCTTGCGGCACGTTGCACTTGGCTCAATGGTGGCCGCAAGTCCGCACGTGTGAGAAGTGTGTGTGTGTGTGTGTGTGTGTGTGTGTGTGTGTGTGTGTGTGTGTGTTTGTTGCCCGTTTGTGGCACGTTGCACTTGGTTCAATGGTGGCCGCAGCTCCGCGCGTGTGAGGCGAGTGTGTGCTCCTTTGTGGCAGGCTTCACTTGGCTCAATGTTGGCCGCAAGTCCGCACGTGTGAGGAGTGTGTATGCCCCTTTGTGGCACGTTGCACTTGGCTCAATGGTGGCCGCAATTCCGCACGTGTGAGGCGCGTGTCTGCCCCTGTGTGGCACGTTGCACTTGAGTCAATGGTGGCCGCAATTCCGCACGCGTGAGGCGTGTGTCTGCTCTTTGCGGCAGGCTGCACTTGGCTCAATGGTGGCCGCAACTCCACGTGTGAGGCGTGTGTACGCCCGTTTGTGGCACATTGCACTTGGCTCAATGGTGGCCGCAACTCCGCACGTCTGAGGCGTGTGTCTGCCCCGTTGTGGCAGGCTGCACTTGGCTCAATGGTGGCCGCAGCTCCGCGCGTGTGAGGCGTGTGCATGCCCCTTTTATGGCGCGTTGCACTTGTCTCATTGGTGGCCGCAGTTCCGCGCGTGGGTGGCGTGTGCATACCCCTTTGTGGCACGTTGCACTTGGCTCAATGGCGGCCGCAACTCCGCACGTGCGAAGCGTGTGTGCATCCCCCTTTTCGTAGCGCGTTCTGCCCGTGCGTGACGCTCGGCTCAATTGCGGCCGCAACTCCACGTGTGAGGCGCGTGTCTGGCCAGTTCGTGGCAGGTCATGTTCGCGCGTGGCACTTTGCGCGTGTCGGCGCGTGTCCCGGGATCATTTGTGGCCGCAATTTCACGCGCGTGGGTCGCAACATGTTCTGCCCGCGTCGTTCGCGCGGCGTGCAGCAGGGCAGCGCGAGAAAGACGGTTGCGGAGCTCGCGCGGGCATCATGACCGAGTTGTCTTCCCCGGCTTGGATGGCCAAGGCTGAGTCCGAGGCCCCGCGATGGGGATGCCTTTCACAAGACTTTGGCCGAGGCGATGGAGCTGAATGAGGTCACTCACTGGAGTCACCTGCTCGAAGTGGAGCCGGGCTCACTGAAGGGCTTCGATTCGGCTGGAAAGGCGAGCGCCCGTCGCGCCAGGGGGGCGGCGGCCTGCCGATGTGGTCTGGCAGGTGGGACGCGTCAAGGCATTGGTCCGCGCGGCTCGCGAACAGAAAGGCATTGACCAGAAGCGGTCCGTGCCCGAGGCGGGGGGCTCTCCCGTCTCGAAGAAGCGCCGCGTTCCACTCGCGAACAGGCCGCCAAGAATGTGGCGATCGAGCCGGCCATGCACTCATCAGGCGGGGGCGGCGGCGCGGTCGGCGGGTCGCGCGTGCGTCGCCGGTCGTTCTCGTCGCAGGCGCCCCTCCGTGACCTGCCAGCGACGTCCTGGCCATCGTCTGCCGCGGTCGACGCGCTGGAAGCCCGGGCAGCAAAGCTGCGGCGCGAGGGCGTGCCCCATCCGCGCGCGTCGCCGGACCTCAAGGCGAGATCGCTCCGCGCGCGCCCGCGCGGCTCTCCCTGTTGGCGCGCGTTGAAGGCTTTCCTGCTGTTCTGGGCGTCGGGCAAAGCGCCGGGGGCAGAGGGGGGCCCCCTCGAGGCAGGGGCCCAGAAAGGGCTGATGCCGTTCAACCAGTTGCGCGCGGCCTTCCGTTGCGCGCATGGCCGCGGCGGCGTTCTTGGACGATCAGCCGCGCTTTATGTCCCTATGGCGTCGCAGGCAGCACGTGGCCCAGGTGCGTTTTGCCCGATGCGCGCGGTGGCGAGGCTCTGCGACGGCCCGGGTGCGTCTTGCACGCTGCGCGGCGCTGGTGGCAGCGCGCGCGAGCTCAGTCGGCAAGCGGCCGCACTTGGCGACGCACTTCGATGTGGTGGCCCGCCGATCGTTGGAGAGAGATCCAGGGCGGGCGGCCCGAGCTTCGAGGTTCGCACGACGCGTGCGTTTCTTTTCGAGCGCCCTTTTTCCCGGCTGTCGCCGTGCGTTGTAGATAAATCGCGCTGCGCAGACGCGGGGCGAGGGCTGGCTGCGCGCGGCCGCGGCCGCGTACGACGCGGCGGAGTGCAAGCCCGCGAAGGCAGCGATGCCCCGCCAGGGGCCTCCGACGGGGAACGGCCGCGGTGGCCGGGGTGGCCAGGCGAGCGACCGCCGGGCCGACTGGCGCCAATCTGCGGGGTCTGCCGCGAGCGGTCACCGCGGGGGCCGGGGCAGCCGCGGCAATTAGCCGGAGCGCTGGACACCAGAGCGGAGGAAAGAGCGAGTGGTCCAGCAAGGGGTCCGCGAGGGCAAGCGCGGCCACCCGGCGGCCCCGAGGGCGCCCGAGAAGCGCCCCAAGCACCCGCGAGGCGAGTCGGGGTCGCGGGGATGCGCTGGCCGAGCGCGATCGCGCCGCGCGCTGGGCATCGGGCCGGAGGCGCCAGCTGCCCGTCGAGCGAGCGTTGCAGCGCGCGACGCGAGTGCCGGGGGGGGCGATGTGAGCCCCCAGACCGCGGCGACAGCGTGCATGGGGAGGCGCGGGATATTTTCGCGCCCATTTGGAATGAGGCGTCCTTGGCGGGCGCGACCGAGGCTGTGCCGAAGCTCGAGTTCACGCGCCGCGCGTTGGGATCTGCCCACGCGCAGCCGGCGTCTCCTGTCGCCGGTCACGAAATTCGCGATATCTTCGCGCGGTCCGCGGCGCCCAGCCCCTGCGGTGTTGCGCGCGCGAGGGAAGGGTGGATCTACGAGATCGAACGCCTTGGCCGCTCTTTTGAAGACAGCGGCGACGCGGCAGCGGAGCGGCGCAGCCAGGCGCCACAGCAATTCGAACCAATAGTTCGCGAAGTCAACATTCCGCTGCTCCGTGCGCTCGTGGCGCGGTCGAAGTACGGAGATACAGGAGCGGTGCATTGCTGTACGGCTGGCGCGCCAATCGTCAGAGCGCTGCCGTCGACAGGGAGTGGCGCCCCCGTGCAAGCGAAAGGCGCTCGCCCTGACGTCGCCGCCATGCGCTCGGGCGCGGCGGCGCGCGGTCAAAATATTTTGAGAGCGCTGCGCGATGCCGAGAGAGCGAGCGCGCTCCTTAGGAAGACGCGCGAGGACGCCAGTCTCGGGCGGACGTCGCGGGCGATTTATTTTCCGGCGTCGGCGACTGCAGCCGAGATCGCGCGAGTCATTGGCGACGGCGCGCGATTTGCTGCCGAGATTCCCCGCGGCGCAGCGCGGGCCAGACGGGGGCGTCAAAGTCAGGCCCGTCGACGACGGCATTCGCGCCGGCATTGCAGAGGCGACCTTGCCCGGGGAGGAACTTGTCGTGGACGGGGTCGATCGCGCGACCGCGGGGCGCCGCGCCTACGATGAGGCGCGCGGCGCGGCGCCAGTCCGATGGAAGGCGGATATTGGCGCCGCGCGCAGGCGGACCCCGCTCGCCCCGGGCCACGCGCTCGCAGCGTGGAGCGCCTTCATCGCGGGCGGCCGTCTGTGGGTCTCGCAGCATTTCGCGCTCCCGTTCGGAGAGTCGGGCCCCGTCTATGGACGGGGCCGAGTCGCCGCCATCCTTGGGCACGCCGCGCGGCGCTTGCTGCGGGCCCCCGCGGGCCGGCATGTCGACCGTTGCTGTGCCCCTGGCGCCGTGGAATCGGCGGCGCATTGCATGGAAGTTTTTGCGTGGCTTGCGCGCGCCATTCTTGGGCCCGGCAGCATTGCCAGCGGCGAGCTCGAGTGGGGCAGTGAACTTGTCGTGCTGGGGGTCAATTTCGCCTTTTCCGACGTGGGCATCTAGTGCGCCCCGTCGGCAGACAAGGTGCGCGAATGGGCTGGCGCGATCGCTCGCGCGCTCGAGTCGGGCATGCCTGAGCCGCGCGCGGCGTCGAAGCTGGCCTGGGCGCTATCCTGGGCTAGCCAGTCTCTGTTCGAGCGGTTGGGCAGGACTTTCTTGCGACCGTTTTTCGCACGGCAGTATGGCTGCGGATCTCGCTGCAACACTCCGCTGCGCATAGCTCTAGAGTGGCGGCGCGAAGTGTTGGAAGGGGGCGTTCACGAAGCGACGGAGTGGACAGCTCGCCCTTTGGGCGCGGGTCGTTTGTTTGCCGATGCCTGAAGCGCCCCGCCGCGCGTGGCGGACGTGCCGTTCGCGCGCGAACGCGGGTGGTACACAGATTGGGCGCCGGACGCCGCGGTGTTGCGGCTGTTCGGTTAGCGCGGCGACAATCATATTATGGGCTCGGAGTTACTGGCCAGCGCGGTGTCCATGTCGACATTCGGGCATCTCTTGTCGAACGCGGCGCTTGCAATTTGTTTGGACAACCGCGGGGCGGAGCAGGCGGTGGCGCGAGGCTCCGCGTGCCATTTTGACCGCGCCTGCCTCGTGCGCGGAGCGAGGGCTGGGCATCCGCGTGGGTCCATCGGTTGCCCGTTGCCGCGAATATCGCGGATCCGCCGTCCCGGGAATATTGCGGCTTGGTGCATCGTTTGAACGCGATTTATGTCGAACCGACGTTGGGCAGTCGATTCGACGCTCCTCAGCAGTGGGCTTCGCCGGGAAGGGCCCGCTGAGCGCTGCTGCGCGTGTCGGCTGGGTGCTTCGGTGGCTCGCGAAGCGTTTGCTTCCCCGCGCAAGCCCCGCAGCGAGCGGCCGAGGAGAGACGCGCGGAGAGATGTCGGACGCGGCGGTCTTCGCCCACTGGCTTTGTGTGTGCGTGCGATTTGCGGCGTCAGCCGCTTGCGTTTTACGTCAAGCTTGTCGCGTACTTCAAGTCGCAGGATGTCGCCCACTGGAAGCATCTGGCAGACGTCGATGCCAATTTCAGATGGCCTCAGTTATCACCGCACAGCAGCGAAGTCGGGACGAGGCGGCACGCCCGCGGGCCGCTAGACGCCGCGCGTGGTGGCCGCGCGCAGGGCCATCAATGAAGCAAAATTTCAGAGGGGCATGCCCGCTCTCGAGGGTTTCTCCCTCGGTCGGCGCAAGCGTTGCAATGGGGCAGAAGCCGCGCTGCCCGTGTGCCCCCTGGCCGCCGGAGCCCTGGCGGCGCATGTTGAGGAGCGGGATCGCCCGGGGCCGCGCCCTCCCCCCGGCCCTCCGCCCGCTGGCTTCGGCGCGAGCGTCGCAGTGCGCCCGCGGCCTCCGCCGGGGCCGCCGCCGGGCCGGCGGCCCAGGCCAGGGGGCGCCGCATGGGCGGCGGCGCTGGAGCAAGCGCGCGCAATGTTGCGCCCTGGCGACGCACGCGGCGATCCTGTGGCAGGCTCGCCAGCGCGAGGTGCGGTCGAGGCCGTTGTCGACTATGCTGTTTCGTATGCAAACCAGTTGGCCGCGCCCAGTGAAGGGCCTCGGCGCGCCCTCGACGGCGCCGCGGCAATGGGCGCGCCTGAGTGCCGGCGCTTCGCCGCGAGGTCGCGCCTGGACGCGACGTTTGGCAGTTGTCCTCGGTCGGCGCCGTGCTGGGCGTCCGCAGTGCGTCGGCGAATTACGCCTTTCAAAGTTCGCCCTTGGGCGGGAGCCCCCGATCCCCATCCGCGCGAGGGACCTCCAGATCGCCAGTGCGCTGTTCCGCGTGAGCGGCGCGTTCGCAAATTATTGCGGGCACTGGGCGCACGGCATCCGAGCTGTTGTCGGCGTCGACGGCCGCCTTCGTCGATCGATCCGCGAAGCGCGCGCGATTGGCCATCGCGAAGAGGTGCCCGGCGAACCCGAGAGTCAAGCGTATCGTGCAGCACGCCCTCCTTTCCAGAGTCGTCGAAGCGAGCACTTCGGGCCCGGTGGCCGCGCCAGTCTCAGGGGGCGCGGCAATGCCCATGTGTTTCGGGCATGCGTTTCTGCGCCTACCAAGCGAGGGCTTGCCCGCTGTCTCCGATGTCTCGCCATTCAACGAGCAGCACCGGGCATCAGTGCGCTTCTCAGAAGAAGCGTTAGGCTTGCGTTTACAGCGGTGCAAGCATTCGGAACGACCTGCTACAATTTGGCGCAAGTGTTGGCGCCGCACTGAGGGCGGCAAAGGCACGTGCCAAGCGCGCGTCCTCGGCGCATTCTTCGAGAAAGCTGGCGCGGGCACCATGCCTTCGCGAGCCTCCCCACCGCTGACGCCGCGGCCGCCATCCGGATTGCAGCCGGGGCGGTGGGCGTGGCGCACCCAGAGGAAATCGACGCAAAAGCGTTACGTCGCGGGCATGCGCTCGACTTAGTTGAGTGCGGGACCGGACTGGCCGAAATGCTTCGCGCGGGCGGCTTGCGGAGCGCTGCCATCGTAGATCTGCCAGTTGAGTCGCTCGAGCGGGGCGCCACTCTCGAGGCCAGAGATAATTTCTCTCCCGACAGCGATGCGTGAAGAAAAGTGCCTGGGCTTCATGCCAGGTGGAGCGCGCGCGCGCTCGCGCTCCGGCAGCTCGCGGCGCATTGGGTCTGCGCTTGCGCGCGCGTGGCGCGCGCAGCTGGGCCCCCGCCGAGTGCCCGGCGCTCTGTGACAGTGGGCGCTCGCGCTGGGCGCTGCCAGCGACGCAGGCTGTGCCCGAGCCACCGTCGGCTCCGGGCACCGCTGCGCGCGGCCTTGATCGAGCGCCCCCCCCATCGTCGCGGTGCGATTCGCCGAGCCGTTTGGCGTCCGTGCCATGGTTTTGTGGTGGGCGATCGTCGTGCAACGTAGGTCGCGGGTGAAGCAGCTGGGCGCGCGCCCCCCGCCCCAGCCCCCATGCTTGGGCGAAAGGGAAGGGGGGGCGCCGCGTGGCGCGCAGCGGCGCGGGGCGACGCAAACCCATTCGGCGAGGGGGCACCTGCGGTGCGGCTGTTGTCCGCCCACCGCTGCCCAGGTGGCCATTTGGCTTGGGGTGTTCGCACTGGGCGCTCGGCTAGGCCAGCGACGCAGGCTGCGCCCGAGCCACCGTCGGCTCGGGGCACCGCAGCGCGCGGCCTTGGTCGAGCGCCACACCCATGGTCGCGGTGCAATTCGCCCAGCCGCCCGGCGTCCGCGCCAATGTTTTGTGTCCCTGGGTCTGTGCGTGCGTATGCGCATACGAGTGCGTTTGGGGCTTTCCCTTCTTGGACCGCCCTTGCGGCGTCAGCTTGTTCCTTCCGTGCAATCCCTTGTTGCTGTTTTGCCTCTCCGTGCTCGGGGCGGTAGGGCTCGGCGCCCCTTTGTGGGCGCGCGGGCCGTGCACCTTCGTGTTTTCCAGGGTTGTGCACGTACTTTCCCGTCGCTGCCGCGTCCAGTCTCGCGATTCGGCTCGCTCCCGAGAGTGCGTGGAACTCGGCTCGTGCGTGGTGCATCGACAACAAGTTGAGCTTGCCTGGGCCTACGGTGACCTTGGTCTCATTGCCAGCCAGCTGAGGAATTATGTGGCCCGTGTGTGTTGGATATTAACATTTTTCAATGTGTACGAAGTAGAGCGTGCGATTGCGTGTTTGCGTGTCTTGTGAGATGTGCACCAAACGCCATCCAGTTTGTGAGCGCCGCCGCGTGAGTGACCCACGGTGCCAACGGGTACCGTCTGCCAGCCCCCCTTCTGTTACGGCAGGTTCGTGTTGAGGCGGTGGCGACCCCCGCAACTGGCGTTCAAGGTTGGAAACAGCCAGTGACCCAGAATCGGTCAATATGGATCTGGCGATCGAAAACCCATCGCTCGTTCAAGGTTGAACGATCCACGTGGTGTCAGAAACTCATGCGCCGGACGTCACGGCATGCGCCCACCGTACCGCTACCATCCCCCTCCGGCCCACTCTCGTCACGAACGTTGCGCGGACGACCAGTGTTCGGGGGTTCGTAGAGGGCGGGTTCTTCCGAGGTGGGGTCATGGAAGGCACCACCTTTGACGATCGCATTGCTTTCTCCCGGTTGGGCATGTGGAGCGACTCGCCACTAACCCCAGTCTTGCTTAACCGTTTTTTCCCCCACATCCTGAGTGGGGTTCTTGTTTTCCCAGAACACCCTCTCCTTCCCACCCACCTCCCGCTCCATCTTCCATGCAGCACAATATTTTTCCTACCCCACACACACCATACCATACCATAGTTCCTACCACACATACCATACCATACCATACCATACCATACCACACCATACGTACCATACCGTACCATACCATACCATGGCGTACCATAGCATACCATACCATATCACACCAATGCCACACCGTACAATACCATACCATACCTCCAGTACCATACCATACCATATCATACCATACCGTACCATACCATACCTACCATACCATTCCATACCACTCCATACCGAAAACCATACTACTTACATGGTTTCGTGCCCCTCCCACCCCTCCAGGGAGGCCCCGCCTGAGCGAGGAGGGTATCGGAATACCATACTATTTACATGGTTTCGTGCCCCTCCCACCCCTCCAGGGAGGCCCCGCCTGAGCGAGGAGGGTATCGGAATACCATACTATTTACATGGTTTCGTGCCCCTCCCACCCCTCCAGGGAGGCCCCGCCTGAGCGAGGAGGGTATCGGAATACCATACTATTTACATGGTTTCGTGCCCCTCCCACCCCTCCAGGGAGGCCCCGCCTGAGCGAGGAGGGTATCGGAATACCATACTATTTACATGGTTTCGTGCCCCTCCCACCCCTCCAGGGAGGCCCCGCCTGAGCGAGGAGGGTATCGGAATACCATACTATTTACATGGTTTCGTGCCCCTCCCACCCCTCCAGGGAGGCCCCGCCTGAGCGAGGAGGGTATCGGCAAACCATACTATTTACATGGTTTCGTGCCCCTCCCACCCCTCCAGGGAGGCCCCGCCTGAGCGAGGAGGGTATCGGCAAACCATACTATTTACATGGTTTCGTGCCCCTCCCACCCCTCCAGGGAGGCCCCGCCTGAGCGAGGAGGGTATCGGAATACCATACTATTTACATGGTTTCGTGCCCCTCCCACCCCTCCAGGGAGGCCCCGCCTGAGCGAGGAGGGTATCGGAAACCATACTATTTACATGGTTTCGTGCCCCTCCCACACCCCGCCTTCGAGGAGGAAGCCGGACCATACTATTTACATGGTTTCGTGCCCCTCCCACTCCAGGGAGGCCCCGCCTGAGCGAGGAGGGTATCGGAAAACCATACTATTTACATGGTTTCGTGCCCCTCCCACACCTCCAGGGAGGCCCCGCCTGAGCGAGGAGGGTATCCAAACCATACTATTTACATGGTTTCGTGCCCCTCCCACCCCTCCAGGGAGGCCCCGCCTGAGCGAGGAGGGTATCGGAAACCATACTATTTACATGGTTTCGTGCCCCTCCCACCCCTCCAGGGAGGCCCCGCCTGAGCGAGGAGGGTATCGGAAACCATACTATTTACATGGTTTCGTGCCCCTCCCACCCCTCCAGGGAGGCCCCGCCTGAGCGAGGAGGGTATCGGAATACCATACTATTTACATGGTTTCGTGCCCCTCCCACCCCTCCAGGGAGGCCCCGCCTGAGCGAGGAGGGTATCGGAAACCATACTATTTACATTTTTCGTGCGTGCCCCTCCCACCCTCCAGGGAGGCCCCGCCTGAGCGAGGAGGGTATCGGCAAACCATACTATTTACATGGTTTCGTGCCCCTCCCACACCTCCAGGGAGGCCCCGCCTGAGCGAGGAGGGTATCGGAAACCATACTATTTACATGGTTTCGTGCCCCTCCCACCCCTCCACCCCAGGGAGGCCCCGCCTGAGCGAGGAGGAGGTATCGGCAAACCATACTATTTACATGGTTTCGTGCCCCTCCCACACCTCCAGGGAGGCCCCGCCTGAGCGAGGAGGGCATCAAGAAAATGGGTCCCACGAAACCGTTAATCTCTTTATGTGGGGAACTCCGTTAGCATAATTTTGGAAGCTCACTTGAATATGCAGAACGCTTACTTTTAACCGTTAGTAGAGGCGAAAGCCGCTGAAGGCCACTGAAGGCCGCAAGCAAAACCGCTGAAGGCTACAACATGCTGCCAAATGGAGACCGAAGGTCACCAGAGGCAGGCCACTAAATTCTACTAGAGCGAGTTTGTTTTTTTCTTATTTCTCTTCTCGATATATATATATGGAAAGAGAGAGAGAGAGAGAGAGAGAGAGAAAAAAAAAAAAGAAAGAGAGAGAGAGAGAGAGAGAAAGAGAGAGAGAGAGAGCGAGTGAGAGAGAGAGAGAGAGAGAACTAATAAGATAGTTACTAGATGGAGCTCCCGAGAAGACACCTGACTCTGTCCAGACCTTTCACGCCTCCCCCGAAATACGAGAGCCAATCTCCAGGTGCGATCTCGCAGACGTGCTCGCCGCGAGGCGTGGGCCGCCCGCGGCCCGCTGGCGGAGCGATGCGCGGGGTCCTCCCGCGGCACGGCTGGGGGAGGGCAGGCAGAGGTCCCTCGGCACGACGGGCCCCAGGGAGAGGGTCCCCAGGACGGCCCAGGCCTCCCAAGGCGCCCAGGATGGCCTCCAAGACGGCCTCCAGGAGCACCCCAAGAGAGTCCCAAGTCGGCCCAGGGAGGCCCCCAAGACGGTGTTCGAGAGCGTCAGACGCGCCAGGGATGCCCTAAGACGGCCAAGGAGGCCCCCGAGAAGCCCCCAGAGGCCCAGGGAGGCCCCCAAGATGCCACAATGCCCAACAGCAGTTCCTGTTCATCTTGAACAGGACTCGCCGTCCGCGCCGCCGCGCCCTGTGTCCATTCGAGACAAACGGCCGCCTGCCCAACAGCGGCCGCTGTTTGGTATGGGACAACATTTGTTGTTGGGCATTGTATCCATTCTTTCCGTACCCATTTCGGGCGTCCAAAAAGATTTCACATGGCAAGATTCCCTACCGTATGTGCCGGCTGTGTCGCGCATGGCCCAAGGAGAGAAAGAGGGAGACGAGGAGGGAGGAACAGCGTCAAATCGGGCACCTCCCTCTACAGGAGGAGTGTTCAAACATGGGCAAACCATAGTCAGGGGACGATGTTTAAAAACTATGGTTTGACCATTTTGGAATATTTGTTGGGTATTTCTCATCTTTCCTCCAACATCCGCCTGTAGGGGGACATGCCCGACCTAAGAATCGCAGCAGCGGGAGGAGGGGTCTTTGGCAGGATGATGGGCAGCCGAGGGATACCGCCACGAGGCACGGGCTGCCGCCGACTGTTTTTGCGGAGCGGGGCAGGGGGGGAGGGAGTGGCAGCTCGTCCTTCGCATGGCCAGCGTGGGTTCTTCGGAGATGGGCGGACCTCCTGCCCTGACACGTCGATCGAGAGAGACACGGCGGAAGGTTTTGGGTAGTGTTCGGCCTCCAGATGCCCCGCATTTTCCCGTACATACCTCATCACTGGGAGGTTGATAGACCTCATACCCTGACACGTCGATCAGCGAAGTGGCCGTTGTCGGTTCGCGGGAGGGCGTCGCGGCCGTCGTTTTTTTGCGGGCCCAGGTCCGTCGGTTTCGGTCCAATGGCTGTCTTCTTCAGGGTGGCTTGCCAAAGGGAGGTTTGGCCACCGCCGAGCTCTGGGAGCCCCGCGGACTGTCTGGGCACGCTGGGAAGCCCGGGGGGGGCTCGAGGCACGAGTCCCGGTCCGCGCCCCCCGTGGCCTTGGTATCGCTCGGACGTGTGCACGTTTTCTCGGCGGGGGTACAGTCGGGGCCCTGAAGAAGGAACCCTTTTCGTTGGGGAGGGGCTCCGCGTTCCTTAAGTGTGTTCGCAGCTTGCCTCAGGCGTTCCTTATGTTCTCGACCGGAGATCGAAGGCTAGCTCATGGGAAAAAGGGGCCTCGTTCCTCATCTGGGGTTCCTTAGGTCAGCGCCCCGACTGCAATGAAGGAGCCCGGGGGGGCTCGAGGCACGAGTGCCGGTCCGCGCCCCCCGTGGCCTTGGTACCGCTCGGGCGTGTGCACTTTTTCTCGGCGGGGCTTCCGAAGGAGCCTCCCGGATCCTCCCGCGAGAAAGGCCGCGCACGAAGGCGACGTGCTGCACGCCACAATGTGCAAGCTATGGCCACGCCTCCTCCTCCTCCTCCTCCTCCACCTCCTCCTCCTCCTCCTCCTCCCTCCTCCTCCCTCCTCTTCCCTCCTCCTCCTCCTCCTCCTCCTCCTCCTCCTCCTCCTCCTCCTCCTCCTCCTCCTCCCTCCTCCTCCCTCCTCCTCCCCCCTCCTCCCGGAGCCTCCCGCGAGAAAGGCCGCGCACGGAGGCCGAGCAACGGCACCCGGGGGACGGACACGTCCGCGCCCCGTGGCCCGCTCGGCGGTGCCCCGGGCGGGCTCGCCCGCTCCCTTGGCCCGAGAGAGGCGCCGCCGCCCGCCCGTCGCGCTGCCCCGAAGGCATCCGACGAGGCGCGTTTCAACAAGGACCTCCCTCCTCCTCCTCCCTCCTCCTCCTCCTCCTCCTCCTCCTCCCTCCTCCTCCCTCCTCCCTCCCCCTCCTCCCTCCTCCTCCTCCTCCCTCCTCCTCCTCCTCCTCCCTCCTCCTCCTCCCTCCTCCTCCTCCCTCCTCCTCCTCCTCCCTCCTCCTCCTCCTCCTCCCTCCTCCCCCTCCTCCTCCCTCCTCCCTCCTCCCTCCTCCCTCCTCCCCCCTCCTCCTCCTCCTCCTCCCTCCTCCCTCCTCCTCCTCCCTCCTCCCCTCCTCCCTCCTTCCCTCCTCCCTCCTCTCCTCCTCCCCTCCCTCCTCCTCCTCCTCCTCCCTCCTCCTCCTCCTCCCTCCCCCTCCTCCTCCCTCCTCCTCCTCCTCCTCCTCCCTCCTCCTCCTCCCTCCTCCCCTCCTCCTCCCTCCTCCTCCTCCTCCTCCTCCTCCTCCTCCTCCTCCTCCTCCTCCTCCTCCTCCTCCTCCTCCTCCTCACAGGCGGGGGGGGGGAGGTGCTCGACCCTCGGCGTGGGCTCCCACGAGGGCGCGAAGCTCTTCGCGCTGCGCGGTCCTCGTTTCTTCTTCCCCTCCTCCCCGTCCTCCTTTTTTCCCCTTTGGGGCGGGGGGGGGCGGCGCGAGAGCGCGAGGTTATTCGCGCTTCGCGCTTCGCGGAGCGCGAATTGCGAAGTTGTGAGCCCTAGTTAAACCCCGTCCCTCGACTAGAGGAGGAATATCCAGAAACAATAAAAACATTGTCTGGGGATTTGTTTTTGGTATGTTTCGACCATTCTGGGGTATTTGTTTGAGTATTGTTAATTTTTCGTCGAAGATCTTCCTGTGGGGGACACGCCCGACTTAAAAACCAGGCGCGGCCCTAGATGCTCCGACCCCGCTCTCTCGAGGGTCGTTTCTCGCCCCAGGTCAGTTTTTGATGGCCATCGGGGTCCCGAAGCGGCCCCCGAGGGCCGAACCCAGGAACAAGGGCGCCGGGATGGACAAACGCAGACTGTCGGGGATCCGTGTCTCTGAGGGGAACTAGGAGGAGGAGGAGGAGGAGCAGGAGGAGGAAGAGGAGGAGGAGGAGGAGGAGGAGGAGGGGGTGGAGGGGGGACATCCTGGTCAGCGGCCGCCTGAGGAGTACTTATATGCACAGTTGTGCGCAGGTAAGGCAACGTGCGTGCGGGTCCACCTTCCTCACGGCCCCGCCCCTTCTTGCTGCCTTTGTGCATAGAAACAGCTGTATCTGCTGTATAGAAGCGGCGGACTCACGCTTCGGCTCCCTCCCCCCCCGATTCTAAAGTGAGTCGGGATACAGGCGAGAGGTAACGAGCGTGTGTCTGTTTTGTGCTCAAGCGGCCGGCCGCCCAGATCTGACTACACCTCAGCGCGAGGTGTACCATCTGCCATCGAGACCAAAACATCCTTTGCTTGAGATGGCTCGTCGCTCACGCGACGATCTCCTACTATTGGGACTATGGCTGCTACGGTACAACAGAGCTGGAGCTGGGCTTCGCCTAAGGCGAAGCTGCTTGTTGGGCCTCCCAACCCATTTCAAACTGGGGGGGCTGTCCCGAAGGGGGGCAGGACAAACGTGCCCTTGTTGTGGCCCTGCCCGTCTCGGGGGCCGCGTTAGGGCGGCGTCTGCTCGGGGGGGGAGCGGGCGGTCGATGCCGCCCGCTCCTCGCCGATGGAGGCCTGGTGGCTCACCCGCCCAGGAGCGTGCGGCTTCAGGCTGTCGACAGCCTCGCGCCCATCCTGTCGGTGATGTGGCGCCTATTCCGGCTCGCGGCTTTCCCCGCTGAGCCAGTCCCCCCATATCGTTATCCTGCATACGATGCTGACTCAACCATCTTCCAATAAATTGTGATCTGGCGTTTCTTCCACAAGTTCTGCAATCACGAGTCCATGCGCGTGCCAGCTGCTCCACATGTCGAGTGTTTCCCGGCGGGGCTGGCGGAGATTCCATGCCCGCCGAGTGACTGACTGATTGGTTTGGCGGATTTTTTGACGTTAGGTGGCAGCTCGGGGAGCACACTTTGAAAAGAGCGCAAGTAGTAGACCTTGATTCAGAAGGGGGGGGGCTGTCGAATTTGCCCTCCCCCCCCAGGGGGTTTGTTTTTCCCCGAGCCCCCCCTCCTTTCAAATGGGGGCGGGACTCCCTCCTCCCCCGCCTTTGCGCTGGAGATGTGGGCGGGGACCCTCCCCACGTTGTGGGCGGCGGGCCCCCCCGCCGCCCCGCAGCCGCAAGAGGGCAACCTCCGGAGACCGCCCGTGCCCTGGATCCCTGACTGGCGCTTCATCACATCAGTCCAGCAACATCGCCATCGTCGTCACCACCATCACCACCTTCACGATCAGCAGCCTCACCGCCACACCACCTTCCCTTCCAGCTCCGTAGCCATTCTGGCGCAGGCGCCGGGCGCCCAGCGGGCGCGACGGGGCCCGGCTGTACGTTTAAGTCCGGCCCGTCTTTCTACGGGAGGAATATCCAAAAAGAGCCAAACAATAGTCAAGGGACGATTTTTATTATAACATTTTTACTTAACAGCGATGATAGGTTTCTAATGAAGTCAAAAGAAAGCATCTGATGACTCCCCAGTGGGGTCTGGGCGGGAGCCGGACAGGCGAGGGCCGGGTTCGTTTTAAACAAACAGTCAGACACTTCGTGCTCTTCGACCTCCCAAAACTCCACTCCCGGGCCGCATTTTGCATGCCCAGAGCCAACTGTAGGCCACTTCGTGCTCTTCGACTTCCCAGAACTCCATTCCTGGGCCACATTTTGGATGCCCGGAGCCAGCTGTAGGCAATTTCGTGTTCTTCGACTTCCCAGAACACCATTCCCGGGCCGCATTTTGGATGCCCCGAGCCAACTGTAGGTCACTTCGTGCTCTTGGACTTCCCACAACACCATTCCTGGGCCACATTTTGAATGCCCGGAGCCAACTGTAGGCCACTTCGTGTTCTTCCATTTCCCAGAACTCCACTCCCGGGCCACATTTTGAATGCCCGGAGCCAACTGTACGCCACTTCGTGCTCTTCCACTTCCCAGACTTTCAAGACTCATCATCTTCATCATCATCATCGTCCCCGTAGCCTTCTTGGCTACAGCCCTACTTTCGAAGATTTCCTTTCAAAGGAACTGCGCAGCGCCTACTGCGCACCTTAATGCCAGGACATGCTGATAGTTCTCGGTCTGGCGGCGGTGCTCCTGGCCCTGCTGCATTGAACAGCGGCGCTCCTCAGCCTGCGGCAGGGAACAGCGCTGCTCCTCAGCGTGCTGCTTTGAGCGGTCCTCTGCAAACGCTCGTCGAGCACGTGAAGCAGTTCGGCCGGATACCGAAGCGAAATAAACGAACGTCCGAACAAGAACGGGCCGAAAACAAGGCCAAACGTTTCTCGGACCATCGCGACCGCTGGGCTGTGCTGATCAGCAGACGGAGACCGAGGAGCTCAAACGGAAGCAGGATACCGAGGAGCTCATGCAGCAAAAGCGAGACAAGACCGAGGAGCTCATGCAGCAAGTGCGAGACCTCGGCCGCCACCCGAAGGAGTATGCCGGGCGTAGCCTCGCAGAGCGGCAGCTGGCAGAGAAAGTCCGGAAAGCACGGAAGGCCAACCAGTTCTCCCCGGAGCAGGACGCCGAGCTCCAGGCCTTCAAGCAAGCGGAGAGCGAAACCACAACAAAGACTCGCGTCGCGGAGGCGGAGGGCCTTCCAAACCCCATGGAAGGGTTCGCTGAGGAGGCGCAGAACAGGATCGACCAGGACCTGCTGATGCTCGAGAGTGGCATCCGGACCAAGGCAATCCTGCGGCGCCTTGCCGCCTACAAAGAGCTTGTGTCCAGCCTCTCTGCGCGACGCGCGGAATTCGCGCAGCGGTGCGCGGAGCGGGTGCGCAAGGCGTCGGCCGCCCCCGCGGGGAAGAGCTGCTACGTTCCCCGCGGCGAGGTGGAGGGGGGCCAGCTGCGCGTCTTCTCCGACCGCCCCGTCATGGCGGGGCCGCTCGCGCGCCAGCTCTGCGACTGCGACTTTCTTACAGAGGAAGACTTTGCGCGGCGCAATCATCGCATCATCATCATCATCAATGGCTTCGCCGAGCACCCCGGTGGAGACTCAGGTCTTACGGGTCCGCGCCCATACTACTACTACTACGACATCACACTGAATCCATTCATGGGAGTGCCTGTTTTGGAGCTACATTCATTGATGCAAGTGTGTCGTTTGAGGCTCAACCCGTCGATAGCAGTGTCTCGTTTGGAATCACATCCGTTGATTGCAGTGTCTCGTTTAGACTTCAATGCATGTATACAAATATCTCATTTGGAGATACCGTTATCGAAAGCAGCGTTTCTACTGCTACTACCACTGCTCCCATCACTCCTACTCGTTCACTCCACACAGTACAACTACTACTTCACTGTTACCACTACTACCATCACTACTACTTCTACTGCTACTACTACTGTTACTATTACTGCTGCTGCTGCTGCTGCTGTTGCTGCTGCTAGTGTAGCTATTGCTACTGCAACTACTGGCAGTGCCACTGCGACTGCCGCTGATGTTGTCACTGCGACTGCCACTGCGAATCCGAATGCGACTGCGAGAACGCCAGAATTCTAACAACTGCGCTCTTACATGAATACCACAGGCAATGTTTCCAGCTATGCTTCTACACATCGCTGTTAGGTTGCTTTGCCGGCATAATTTATTTGGTGGTATTATTTATAATTTTTGAGATTTCGTCCACAATCCTCCAGTAGGGGGACATGCCCGACCGAACTGTAGATGGAGGAGGCGGGCGCCGAGGCGCCGAGGCGCCGGCGGTGGAGTCCGCTGTGCGGCGCCTCGCCGCTTCGGGGGGAGGCTGGGAGGGAGCGGCTGCGCGCCGCCGGGGCGGAGTTCGGCAGGCTTCGAGAGGCTTCGAGAGGCTGGCCGCGGATAGCTGGGGCAGCCTGCGCGCCAGCGCGGGGGAGGCCGACCGCGCGAACGACGCCGTGAACAACACGCATTACTTCAAGGTTGCACAACGACCACGACATCGAGCACTACAAGGACAGCGGCGCCCCGCCGTCTCTCCACGCTTTTTCTCCCTGTTTCCTTCAGGCTTTGTCTGGGCAGCTTGCGGATCCGTGGAAACCACCCCGAGTGCGGAGCTGGGGCAGTTGCGCGCCAGCGCGGAAGAGTGGGCGAAACTCCGGACCCTGCAGCAGCATATGGCGGTGCCGCGGGCGTCCGAGGGCGCCGGGGTGCTGCGGATCAGCTGCTGCGGGCGGGGGTTTTCGGTGCCCAGAGGGCCGTCTTTTGCTGCGTCGAGGGGAGCTACTTGAATCACATGGTCAGCGACGCCTTCATCCATCCCATCCCGCGGGATTGCGAAGGCTGGCTCTTCTTGGACTTCAACCCGGACTGCTTCGGCTTCATCGTGGACTGGCTGTCGAGCCGCCAGGGGCGCTCCGACGCCCCATTTCCCCCGGCGCCGCCGGAGCAGCATTGGGCGTGGAGACGCTGTTGGAGGCCCTCCACCTCATACCCTTCGCGGGGGCCAACCGCGTTTCGCCGACGCACGGCACCTCCCTGGCGGTGCTGGGCAGCGACGTGAGGGCGACGCTGGACGGCTGGCAGCTGGTCTCGCCGAGCGGCCGCCTGGCCCCCATCGGCGCCTCGCGCTTCGAGGTGCACGTGGCCGCTAACACCGACTCCGAGCAGGGCGGCCTCGCCGTGGGCGTCTGCGGCCGCGTGCCGGTGGGCGCCGAGGCCTGCTCCCTCCACCTGCAGCGCGCGGTGCGTTCCGTCAGCGGCAACGGGCCCGTTGGCGCCGCACTGGCAGGGCACAACGTCCAGAAGGGCATCAGGCTGGCGCAGGGAGACGTCCTCGGAGTGAAGTAAGACGGCGGCACCCGCACCGTGCAGTGGCATTACGAGCGCGCTTTCGTGGTGACCTCCTCCATCAAGGCGGAAAGCCTGGAGCACATGCTCGCGCTCTACCCAGTGCTCGCGCTGCGTTGCCGCGGCCAGCACGTTCAGGCGGACTTCGGCAGCGTGCCCGCGAAGGCGCCCCCCTCAGGACGACCGCGGCCGGCCGTAGAGCGGGGCGCCGTGCCGGGCGCGCGCGCGCCTTCGGGCGCGCCCCTGTGCGCGCGCCGCTGGTTTTGCCAGCGTCGTCGCTGCCGTCGTCGTCCAAACGGGGTGGATTTAAGTCGGGCCTGCCCCTCCATCCAGGAGGAGTATTCAAGAATAGTCCAAAAAATAGTGGAGGACGATGCTTTAAAAGTTGTTTTTGCTAGTTAAAGATATGGTCGGACTATTTTTGATTTTTCGCCCAAAATCCGCCTGTAAGGGTGGATCCTTCGGCCGCCAGGGCGTTCCCGCCCGGCGGCCACGAACCGCCACAGCAAATCTATGAGTGCGCTCGCCGGGCGCCGGTGTCCGGCCTCCTGCGCCCAGAGGCCCGAGCCGCGAGGAGTGGCGCGGTGACCACTTTTTCCCTCTGCCCTCTCCTCCTCTTCATCCTTCCTCATCCCTCCTCCTCCTCCTCCTCGTCCTCCTCCTTTTCCTCCTCCTCCTCCAGTGCTGTTCGGCCCGAGAGCTTTGGGTGCGGCAGGCAGCTGCCGCGAGCTCCCCTCGGGCCGGGACCATCGCGCCAGCGGAGGAGGCGCGGCATCGGCGCGCCAGGCGCCAGCGTGCCAGCGCCCGCGACCTGGCTCGCGCCTGGAAGGGCGGCGGCTCCGGGCGTTTCCACGCGGGCCTGGCCAGGGCCGTGGACCTGCTCAGCTGACTCGCGGCCATCCTCCTCCTCCTCCTTCTCCTCCTTTTCCTCCCCCTCTTGAGGGACGCTCGCTCCTCCTCCTGCTCCTCCTCTTCCTCTCCTCCTCCTCCTCCTCTCCCTCCTCCTCTTCCTCCTCCTTCTCCTCCTCCTCCTCCTCCTCCTCCTTCTCCTCCCTCTCCCCCCCCTTCATCTGTCCCTTGATATTGTCTCCTCACCCTCACAGCCACCACCGCTTCATCGTCACATGTGCGCAGCCCGCGACACCATCATCGTCATCATCAGCTCTGTCACCACCGCCGTCATTGCCAAAATCACGATGGCCAGCATACACATATCTACGATTCGTTTTATCTGGTGGTGCCGCTGTACGCGTGTCGTCGCTGGCGTGTATTCGGTTGGGCAGTGCCGCGGAGAATCCCCATCCAAGCTGTTGCTTGTGATTTCCCGACACGGGGATCGCAATACGGGCGTTGCCAGGGGGGGGTCGGAGCCAGGAGCGTCACGTGTCGCCCATCTGGGAATATCTACGAGTAGGTTATGACTTTTCGCACGTGAGCACGCATCGTGACGCTTCCTGGAGGCGGCGGGTGCGGCCGCGGCCGGTAGCAATCGCCATCGCGACAAATGAAGAGACGGTGTCGAATTCGTTCTTGTGACGGCAATTTGCTCGTGGTAACTGACTGCCAGTCAGTTACCACGAGCAGATTGCAAGTTACCAGTCAGTCAGTGACGGCCCGGGCCACTCCAGTCACTGGAGTGGCCCAGGCCGTCTCGTCAAGAGCCGTCGCGTCAGCTGTGAAGGCGGAAACCGGAGTGCTGATCTGAGTGCCCCCCATCACCAGTGGGCTGGTCGCCCTCGAGTCGCCCACGGTGGACCCGGCGCCTATCACCCACGCTGCTGCTGAGCACTCCCCTGCCCGAGTGCCGCCACATCATCTGTGTTGCTCGCCTGGTGCCCACACTCGGGAATCAGGTCGGCTACGGCTCTCCTGCGTCGCCGTGGTCCTCGGCGTACCTCGACTCGCCCATGAGCCGCGGCAGCGACAGGCAGCGCTCCGGGGCATGGCGAGGCTCGGCGGCGAGCTTAGGGGGGCGGTGAGAGGGGCGAGCTTTCTCAGAAGGCGGCGGTGCTTCTCAGAAGCCCTTCCGCCTTCTGAGAAGATTGCTCTGTCTTCCAAGAAGGCTTAGAAAAGCTTCTCAGAAAGCAGGAGGCCATCGAGCCTTCCGAGAAGGCCCGCCCCCTTTGCTTCCCCCCTTGGGCTCGCCGCCGCATGGTGAGGTTCGGTAGCAACTCGTGGGAGTGGGAGCTTTGCATGTCCTCGGAGCTCCGTCTTCAGTTTCGGCGCCTCGCTGGCCAGTGCGCCTTGGAGTAACTTGTAAGGCAGTATCGAGCGGGAGCCATTGTCGTCGCAGGTTGGCCGTCACAAACTTGATTGGATTTCGAGGAACTGTCGTGCGGGAGCACTGTTCCTCAAGTTCGGGGCCTCCCTGGCCAGAGCGCCTCCGGGTACATCGTAAGGGAGTATCGAGTGGGAGCCGTTATCGTCGCAGCTGTGTCGTTACAAATTTGATAGAATTGCCGTTGAAGTCTCGAGCGAGAGTGTCGCTCCAGGAAGTGACAGAGAAAAGCACGAGGAAGTATCGAGCCGGAGCCGTTTCTGTCGAAGCTGGGCCTTCACCCATTTGAGCGGTTTCCAAAGTCTCGAGCGAGAGCGCCGTTCCTGAGTTCGGAGGCCTCTCTGGCCAGGGCGTCGTGGGGCAAGTTTGGAGAAGGCACGGAGTCGCTGGCGTCGCGTTTGTCCGCATTCTTCTGGCGGCTGGGTGCCAGTTGTAATCGCAGCTGCGGCCATCTGAGGGCCCTCTTGACCTGGCGCCCCGCCGCGGCACGCCCGAGATCGAACAGGCTGTTTTGGATCGTGCGCCTGGCGTGCCTGTCTCGTTCAACAGCTGGCATTAAGCTATGTCGTGCAAGCTATGTGATGCAACCGATTTGGTGAATTCGACTTGGGGCAAGCTATGTGGCGCAGGATACGTGGTGCAAGCGACGTGGTACTTGCTATGGGGTAAGCGATGTGGTGCAATACAGATGGTGTAAGGTTTGATGTGAAACCCGTGCGGTGCAAACTATGTGGCACAAGCTAGGTGGTGCAATAGATGTGGTGCAGTCGATCTAGTGCAAGTGATGGGGTGGAAACAGTGTGGCGCAAGCGACGTGAAGTAAGTTTGGCGGCGCAAGCCATTTGGCGCAATCGAGGTGACTACCTGTGTGGTGCAACACTGCGTGATGGAAGCCCTGTGGTGCAAGCTCTGTGGTGCAAGCTGCGTGGCTCGAGCTGCGTGGTGCAGGTGAGGTGGTGCCAGCTGTGTCGTGCAAGCCTACAGTCGGGGCCCTGAAGAAGGAACCCCTTTCGTTGGGGAGGGGCTCCGCGTTCCCTCATTGTTTCACAGCCTGCCTCAGGCTTTCCCCATGTTTCCGACAGGAAATCGAAGCTCAGCTTGTGGACAAAAGGGACCTCGTTCCTTATTTTTGGGTTCCTTAGGTCAACGCCCCGACTGTATTCAGGAGGAAAAGAAACACACAGACACAATTAATCCTCGATTCCCCAGAAAATATGGGAAAATATGGGAAGTGGTTGGTAAGACAGAAACCCAGAAAATATAGGAAAATATGGGGAATAGTTTTATTTGTGTGTATTTATTTGTGTGTCCTGGGGCCCCTTCATGTATTTCGTGCAAGCCTATGCGGTGCAGGCCACGTGCTGCAAGCCACCCTGTGTACACTATGGGGTGTTAGTGCACGGGGTGGCGACGGGCGGCAGCGGGGCAGCGACCGCGCGAGGACCCGGAAGCGCCGGCCGGCGCACGGGGTTGGGCGTTGCGTAATTGGGGGGTCATAAATGGGGGGGTGGCGAGGGTGGTCCGAAAAGGTACCCAAACGGTGCCTAAACGAGCCCCCTGGGGCTCCGGAGGGGCCCGAAAGGGGCACGAAAGGGGACCTTTTCTGACCCCCCCATTTGCGACCCCCCCATTAAGCCACGCCCAAACGGGGGCGCCCGCGAGGCGCGCCCGGGTGGTCACGGGCGGCGGCGGGGCGAAAGCGCAGCGCTGGCAGGCGATTGCGTAGCAGGTGGGCGAGCGACGTGCCAGCGAAAGAGTTGCTTATGGGGCAGAGCGTCCAAGAGGAACAAATCTTTTGGCAGGTAAGCGGAAGAATTGCTTGGGGCAGAGCGTCCAAGAGGAGCGAAAAAGCCAGAAACATAAAACTTGTGGCGCTCCGCGCGGACTCCTTGGGTCCGCGCTGGGCCTTCTCGCGCTGGGCCCCCCTCCCTGGCGCGCGGAGCGCGCCAGGGGCGGCGCCGGAGGCGCCGCGGGGGGGGGGGCCCAGCGCGGACCCAAGAAATCCGCGCGGAGCGCCAAACATTTATGTTTTTGTTGTTGTTTTTTCTTCTTCTTCTTCTTCTTCTTCTTCTTCTTCTTCTTCTAGTGTAAGTGAAAGAATTGTTCGGGGCAGAGTGGGAACACCAGTGGCGCATGGTGCAAACCATGCGGTTTGACATCTCTCGGTGGTGTGCGTTTTTTCTCGGCGAGGACTGCCGAGGAGCATCCTGGATCATCCAGTCCAGAAGAAAAACATGACACCAGCAAACACATTGGGAATGATAAAGGTCCGAGCGATGACAAGGCGGTGCAATCTACAGGGCGGGAGCTATGATGTGCAATCCACGCCGTGCACTCGAGGGAGGCGCCAGCCAGCGGTCGAGGAGGCCCCGGGCGTGCACGGGCGGCCCCCCGCCAAGCGAAGACCAGAGAGCCCCCCGCCAGCAGAGAGGGCCCACGTGGGCGGCCGAGGGTGTGCCCATCGGCCGAGTATACCCCGGGGCTCCCAGGCAGCATGGGCTTCGGGGCGCCAGAGGCGGGGGCACGGCACCCGGGGGGCACGGGGGACGCCGGTTTGGTTGCCACGTCTGACATATTTCCTCGTCGAGGGGGCCGCGGGCGCCGCAGTCGGGGGCAAGCACATAGGTCGGGCGGGTGGTGATGGGGCGGCCGCTGGCGGCCACCAGTCAAGACTCACTTCTAGCTCCCTTCGGCTAGTCCCGCCACCGTGCCAGCCTAAGGGAGGCTCTTCAGGGTCAGCTCGAGGCTCTCTTGGGGCCGCGTGGGCAGTCTATGAGCCTTCTTGGAGCGATCTTGGAGGCCTCGGCTTTGAGCTGACGGACGCCGGGAAACGTGAGAGTCCAAAATTCAATGAACAACCGTTGGGAAGCCATTGGTTTTTGCCTCTTCCAGCCCTCCGGAGGCTCCTCTGAGAATCTTGTTGAGCCGTATTCGAGGCTTCTTTGAGCCATTTTGATGTTGTCTTGGGCCGTCATGAGGCCATCTTGGGCCTTCTTGGAGCCATTTTGGGCCGTGCTGGAAGCATGGTGCGCCGTCTTGGCGGCCTTGGTGGCCTTCTAGCCTGTCCTTGAAGCCTGGGAGAGCCTCAGCGAGGCGCCATGGCCGCCGAGGGGCCCAGGGGAGGTGGGGCGATGCACGCAACTGGGCGTGATGAGAGGAGTGGGGGGGGATCCTTAAGACAACAACAGTCGCAGGCCTAGAGGTTGTCACCAACACCAGTATTGGCGGTGTGCCTCCACCGAGGGAAGAAGATCCCGATCTCGGTGGTAGTGGTAATATTCTGGCTTCCAAGGTGGCCGAAATATTACCACCAACGCCGAAATCTAGGATCATCTTCCCCCTGTGGAGGCAACCCCCTCAGTTGGTGTTGGTGCCCATTTCCAGGCCTCGAAAACAGGAATCCTGCCAGACAGAACTTGGCATTCTTCCACGTCTCAATGCCAGGGAGCATGGTGGCGGACTTTCTGGGCGAAGGAGTGGTAACCACGAGGCGATCATGGCCGCCCACCAGCCGAAAACCCAGACTTCAAGCCAACACGAGGCGCCCACGATGCCGCCACTGGCGCCCACCAGCCGAAAACCCGGAACCCCTGCAACTTCCTTACCTCTTCGACCACCCTTCAGGTGATAAAGAGGTTGTTAGGGGGGGAGCCAATTGATGGCAATTGCGATGGGACATCATCGGGAGACCCTGAGAACAAATCTATGCCACCATCGGGACACCATCGGGACAGCATCGGAACACCATCGGCACACCATCGGGACACAGTTGTGGTCCGTCCGTCCACTATTTGTGGATCGATCTCACGATCGGCATCACTATAGGTATTGCTATCGACCCCACTAGCGATATCACTATCTGTTTGCTAATCTCACTATCGGGCTCACTATCGATATCACTATGCGTCCCGCTATCGATCTTACTTTCGATCCCACTATCTGCTTGTCGATCTCACGTTTGGCCCTACAATCAGTGTATCAGTATCACTATCGACCATACTCATTCTTTATCGGTCTTAACGTATGTTGGCCAGTTTCACTATTGATCTCACCAACGGTCACTCTATCAATCTGTCAGTCTCACGATCAATATTTCCCATTATCCAGATCACAATCGAGCACAATATCTATGCATAGATCTCATCATCGATCGGTATAACTATCCATCGATCTCAGTATCTCTCTATCTAAACATCGAGAAAGTCATCGGGACAACATCGGGACATCATCGGAACACCATCGGGACACCATCGAAGCACCATCGGGACACCGTCGGGACAGAATCGGGACAATATCGGAACACTATCGCGACACCATCGGAACACCATCTGGCCACCATCGAGACATCATCGGAGCTCCATCGGGACACCATCGAGACATCAGAGGGACACCACCGGGAAACCATGGAGACACCCTGGGCGGGCCACGGAACACCATCCGGACACCCCTAGGCCACCGCTGGTCAACCAGGCCTCCGCCGGCCAACCAGGGGGGTGGGAGCATCATTTGATTTGGACTCGCCCTAGCTCACCGAGCGCATTCCACTACTCGCAAAGTGCCTACTCGCAAACGTCCGAACAAGAACAACATGTTCGCTTCGATGTAGTTTATCGTTGATCCCCCGCGGCGGATCCAGGCCACTTGTGAGTTGTTACTTTGCGAGTAGTGGAACGCGCTCGTCTACGAGCCGCAGCAGAGTTCATTCTGCTCGCCCGCCCACGCAGCTTCGCCTCGCCCGCACGCGTGACACCAAACCGACAACGATTTCCTTGTGGGGGTTCTCCGTTTCACTTCGATCTCACCCTCCCAACCTCTGATGACACCCTTGCGGCAGGAGACCTTCAACAGTTTCCCACAGGGGCTCGGCAGTCCACTTCCTGGCCCTTACAACGTCTACTACCACTACGAACACAGCTACCACTATCAACTACTACTACTACTACTACTACTACTACTACTACTACTACTACTACTTGTACTTCTACTACGACTACTACGAGTACGATTGTCATGATTATTAATGATTATTATCATCACTGCGAATACTATTGCGAATACGGGTACTATTCTTACTACTGATACGACGACTACTATTGTTACTACGGGCCACTGACGACGGCTACAATCGCTATTGCTTGTATTGTTGCTGCTGGTGATGCTGTTCTTCTTATTTTACGACTACTACTGCTACTACTACGACGACGACGGCGATTGTTACTTGGTCTACTATTACTACTACTACTACTACCACTACTACTACTACTACTCCGATTACTTCTACTACTATTACCCATATCAGAATTTTTACCAGCATTACTACTACTACGAATATTAATAACGATACTGGCGATACTAATAATACCACGCCTACATATAGTTACTATTACCTCAACTATCACTTTTACTACTACTACTACTACTACTACTACTACTACTACTACTACTACTACTACTACTATTACTACTACTACTACTACGACTACTGCTAAGACCATTTTAACTACTACTACCACTACATATACTAATGCGACTATCGCTACGACTACTACCCTTACTACTACTACTACTACTACTACAACTACTACTACTACTACTACTACTACTACTACTACTACTACTACTACTACTACTGCTATTCAACTGCTGACGCCACTACGCCCAGGACTACGACTACGAAAAGCACGGTTACGATTACCACTGCCACCTACGACTATTGCTACTGCTGCTACTACTACTACTACTACTACTACTACTACTACTAGTACTACTACTAAGACAACGACAGTTACTACTACGACTACTACCACTACTAATATTACTAGGACTACTACTACTACTACTACTACGTCGACGACTACTACTACTACTACTACTACTACTACTACTACTACTCATACCATTACGCCTATTTCTACTACGTCCACGACTACTACTATTACGACGCCCCTACTACTGCTACTTCGATCACCACTACCACTACGCTTATTACTACTACTGCTACCCCTACTTCTATTGTTGTTGTGGCAACCACGCCTGCTACTATTACTACGACTAATACCACAATACCACGACTACTGCTACTAATAATATTACGTCCTTCTGCTACTACTACGACTACTTTTAGTAGTAGTAGTAGTAGTAGTAGTAGTAGTAGTAGCAGTAGTAGTAGTAGTAGTAGTACAACTACTACTACGACGACGACTACTACGACTACTACCACGACTACTACGACTCAAACTGCTATTAGTTCCACAGCTGCTACTCATACTGCAACTACTCTTGCTACTACTACCAGGACTACTTTTATCACGACTGTTAGTACTACTGCTACTCATACTGCATCTACTACTCCTATCACTACTACTACTACGACTACTACTACTACTACTAGTACTGCTAAGTAGTAACACTACTATGATTACGACGACGACTGCGACGACGACTGTGACGACTACTTTCTACCCCAACTACTATTACTATTATTTCGACAACTTTTTTTTTGCTCCTGCTGCTACTAGTTTTTACTACAATGTTTCTTTCTACTACTACTACTCCTACTACTACTACTACTACTACTATTACTACTACTACTACTACTACAACTACTACTACCACTACTACTACTACTACTACGACGACGACGACTACTGCTTTGACAGCTACTACTCCTAATAGTATCACCATAATTATTACAACTACTACTACTACGGCTACGACTACGACTACGACTACTACTACTACTACTACTACTACTACTACTACTACTACTACTACTACCACTAGTAGTTCTAGTACTACCACGACTACTTGTAGTATTATCTCGACTACTTTAATTACAAACTAACCTCACCGTTCCTGGTATCTCGACTCCTATTAATATTATTGTGACCACTACCACTATGACCTATTTCTATTTTCTTTGCGACGACTACTACGACTAGTACTACTACTGTTTCTACCTTTACTACTACTACTACTACTACTACTACTACTACTACTACTACTACTACTACTACTACTACGGCGACGCATAGTACTATTACTATTACGACTACGACTAGTACTATTGCTACTACTACCAGCAAGGACCAGCACAACTCATGTACTCGTATCACGCACCAGCATCTACTAGTACTAGTCGTAGTTTGAGTGGTCCTACCTAGACGACTGGCTTGAATACCAGTTCGTTGGGCCGTAGGTCGTCCATTACAAGTTCGATTCGTTTTGCCAAATGCAACGCAAAGAATTGACATTCACGTTTCGAGTATGAGTGCGACTGTGTAAACTAGTGCCCATGCACATCGTTCTAAAATGCTTACACTAACAAAGGGAGACAGCGACAGACAACGGGAGACAACGGGGGGCAATGGGAAGCAACGTGAGGCAACGGGAGGCAACGGGAGACAACGGGGGACAACGGAAGACAACAGGAGGCAACCGGGCACAACAGGAGACAACTGGAAGCAACGGGAAACAATCATAGATAACGAGAGACAATGGGAGACGACGGGAGACAACGGGAGACAATACGATGGGATCCAATGGGAGAACGCGAAAAGGTCGATTTCAGACTCGGCGGCCCACCCACTCCTGTGTGAGGAAAGATAGAACCCTTACAGACAAGCTGCTGAGGGAACTACAGAAAGAAGCGCCTGGTGCAAGCATCGCCTGGCATCCCGATGGCTTTGGCGATCTGGCCCGGCCCCCCAGGGCTTTGGGTGCTGGTCTTAGAGTCTAGGAGGCTCCCAGGGGCGCGCCAGCCGCACGGGTCCCCGAGGCCATCGTGGAGCGCGCTCCGGGCGCCGGCCCCCGCCACGGTCCCAGCTCCTCGGGCAGAGTCACCAGGGCACTCCCGCGAGCGCCGGCCGCACGGGGGCTTTGGGCCCCTTGGCGAGCACCTTTGCGGCTGTCCATCGAGGGAAGTCACGGGGACCTGGGGGCACTCCACATGCGTGCCTACGGCGCGGTGACGGATCCCAAGCAGATGCGTTTTCCATTTGGTCCAGGCGCGTTCGTTCATCGCGGTTGCCCAACGTGCGTTCTGACAGCTTGGTGTTCGGGCATGCTTGCTCTCCAGAGTTGCTCAACGCGATCCCGAACGCATTAGTGCCCGAATTAGTTGTCGCACCCCATGTCGGCTGTCTCGTGTTTCGGTCATATTCTCCACGGTCCTCCTTGCATCCCTTGTTCTACGTGCTCGAATATGGAAACGCGCGTGTCACTTGTATGCAGATAGTCCAGTACACAGACACCCACTTAGTACTGCAGTTCGATCGTTAGTTGCATGCTGGTAACAGGTGGATAGCTTGGAAAGACAAATCTACATGTATGTACACATGTGCGTTTCCATCGGCAGTTTGATACGTCGATGCGTGTAGTAGCTCATCAAATGAAATAGGCAGTTTGCCGCATGCGAGTCCTGTATAATCACAATTGCACGGCCATATGTGCAGACAGCCCGTCAGGCATGTGTATGCATGTATGCATGCATTTGGTTATACATACGTACATACGTACATACATACAAGCATACATACATACATCTATATATAGATATGTGAATCTATGCGAATGTGCAGCATCTTTAGTTGCATGGTGGGATGCAATGTGCATATAATGCATCAAGTCATTTAGAGCGGGCTTCCCACCGATTCCTTGAGTTGTGTTATCGTCGGACGGGTGGCCCCACAAGTCCAAGTGTGCAGTCATGCTATCTTGCATGCGCGTGCGCAGGCGCACGAGTGTGCTCGGCTTGGCCTGGCGTGGAGAGGATGATTGGAGGTACAGGGATTGGGGGAACGAGCGCCCAGGCGCTTAGCCCAGAGGGTGTCCAGGGTCGGAGGGGGAGACGTGCCCCAGAGGCGAACGTAACCTATTCTCTCGTGGCACTTCCCAGGAAGCACCTCTGGACGACTAGTCAGTCCGACAGGAGTCGGGCTGATCTCATACCGCGCACCATTTCGAACATGCCTGGGCAGGGCCGACATGCCCGTGAATTCGCGGGTGCGCGTGAAGTTGGGCCTGGACTTCCAGCACTTCAGGGAGGCGCGCATTCGGCTATGGTCAAGCTGTGCGATTGCGCTGCTGGGGGCAGGCACGTAATCATACGCGCTGCATTGTCCCTCTGCACCCCTCCCCGCCCCCCTCCCTCCTTTTGGAGCCTCGTGATGTATGCCGCTTGTTCTTCCCCCTGCTCCCCCCTCCCCCCCTCGCTGCGGGACTTTAGGAGAAAGAATTTTGGCGCAGGAGGAGGACTGACTGTTCTTCATCGAGAACGAAGGAGGCCTGAACCCTAATTATAACACAATGAAGACGCAGCCTCACTTAGACCCCCGCCCTCGCATGCGGGATAATCAGTCTGGGGGGGGGGCTTTGGAGCTTTATACACCGTCTGAAAAGATCCCCATACACATGATGTTTTGGGCCTCTTAACTTAGACCCGCTTCCAAATGGTTAGGGGCCCCTTAATCAAGGGAGGAAACACCACCCGGACCGGACAACTGGCGTTTGCTAAACGGCCCTGGGCGTTTATTACGAGACAGCCCTGCCCTGTTCGATTCCTCCTCTGGGCGCGTTGACCACAGGCCTCGCGCGTCGGGGTGCTTCTCATCGGGGTGGACTTTCCTGCCCTCCACTTTGGTGGCCAGTCCATCCCGGCGGGCTCAGATCTCCGCCCCGCGTGCACGCTGGCGTCCGCCCCGAGCACGGCCCGGCACTCCCAGACACCCATGCGCGTGCTCGCCTGCTTGCGCCACGCCTCCGCGCCTGTGTGGCACTTGACGGCGTGGCAGTTCGGGTATAGCTTTAGGTCCTCCACGCCGAGGGCGCTGATGCATCGCCGACGTCGCTGATGCATCGGCGCCTGCATCTGTGGTGCGGCGCCACTCTCCGGCCCCATCCACACAGACCTCACCTGGGAGGCCTCCAGGAGACCCGCGCGGAGCTCCGAGCGTTGATGCCCGTGCAGTGTGTGGTTCCTCGGGTGGCGTGTGTCCGAGGGCTTGGGCGTGCAGGCGGCGTGCGCGGGACAGGCGGCCGAGGCTCCAAAAGCCTGCCAGAGTCAAGTCGGGCGTGTCCCCCTACAGGGGGATTCTCGACGAAAAATGAAAAATACCCACAAAATACCCCCAAGAAGGTCAAAAAGTACAAAAAATAGTCCCCTGACTATTTTTGGATTATTTTTTGATTATTTTTGAAGGATTTTTCATTTTTCGTCGAAAATCCCCCTGTAGGGGGACAGGCCCGACGTAAGTATAGCTGGGACCCCAGGCAAGGACACCTGGTCAGTGGTAGGGCCCGGGAGCCGCTGCATGAGCCGGAATCACCAAACCAGGTCTGCCGTAGCCGGTGCTTTTTCGGGCGGCGGCAGTTCCGGTCAGCGGAGCGGGCGGGGGGGGCCGTCCCCCGGTGCACATCAGCAAACCTGAGGTCCCGCTGAACCCCGTTCGCAGGATTGCAAAAAAACCCTGGATTGCAAAAAAACCCTGGGTTTTTGCAATCCTTGGTTTTTTTTCAATCCTGGGTTTGTTTTGCAATCCTGGGTTTTTTTTTGCAATCCTGTTTTTTTTTGCAATCCGACGCCCGAGTGCGGCACGTGACGACGCGGTGGTGGACGCAACGTCCCTCTCTCTCTTCCCGCTCGTGCCTGCCGGCGCGCCTCGGCCCCTCCGGCTCCGGGCGAGCCTCTCCTCCGGGGGCTCGCCGCGCCCCGTCCGCCCGCTCTCGCGGGCGGCCGCCCCCCGTCGGCCTCGGCCGCGGGGCCTCTCCTGGGGCCGCGGCGCCCCGCTGCGGGCGCCCTCCCCGGGCGGTGCTGCGAGGAGAAGAAGAAGGAGGAGGAGAAGGAAGAGGAGGAGGAGGAGGAGGAGGAGGAGGAGGAGGAGGAGGAGGAGGAGGAGGAGGACGAGGGGGAGGAGGAGGAGGAGGAGGAGGAGGAGGAGGAGGAGGACGACGACTAGGAGGAGGAGGAGGAGGAGAAAAGGGCGCCAGTCCAGCGTAAAACGGGAGGAGGGCTCGGGCGGGAGCGCTGGTTTTGTCGGGGCGGGGGACGGGGTGGTGACCACACCCGTGCGGTGAGTCGGTGGGGACGCGGGGGGTCACCGCACGGTCTCGGGGACTCGGGCCGTTCTCCGAGGACGTCTCGGGCGACCGGGGCGTCCGAGGTCCCAAGGCCGTGCGTTGGCGGCCCGTGCGGTGAGGTCTTGGGGGGGTTCGGGGTCACCGCACGGTCTGTCACCGCACCCGCACCGTTTTCGGGACTCCAAAGGTTGGAGGGGCGCGCCATGGTGGGGGCGATCAGGTGGGGGGGGGTGCAGCGAGGGCTGCAGAAAGGGAGCCCCTTTGGGCCGTTAAAAGGGGCCTTCACGGGCTGAGGAGGGCACCTTTATTCCCCCCATTTTTATCGCTCCCCCATGGATTCGCGCCCAAGGCGGCCAGGGTCGCACCAGCCAGATTGGCGCGGGCAGGCATCGTATGGACCGGCGGCGACCGCGGCGATCTCCGAACCTCACCCTCGCCGATCACCGATTCATGCGACTCGATTGGCGGCGGGGGCAGGGCTTGGAATTCGTCGAACACGTGTCGAAATCCGCACCCGGTATACCCTGGCTCGTATCGATTTCATGAGGGTCGGTGATTGGCAGGGGTAGGGTTCGGATGTCGCCACCTAGCGGAGAGCCTTTTTTGATTCCCTGGCGGCAACGGCCGTGAACAGGGGGGGAGGAGGGGGGGGGCGGGGCCAGTGATGCCACGCTTCGCGCTGGCGCCGCCTGGGCGAGTGTCCAGGGGCACCCAGGAACAGCCCGGAGGTCAGCACGAGCCGCGGCGTCTCCTTTGGGGCGGAGGGGGGAGGGGAGGAGCGGCCAGGGCCAGTGGCGGCCGCTGCCGCGGGAGACAGCAGACGCCCCCAGGGCCCCGCGCCCCTCGCGGGAGCTCGCTCGGGGCGCCCTCCGCTCGCGCGGCGTCGCCGGCGAGCCGAGCGCGGGGGCAGCTCGCCCCCGAGTGGCCACGGATGCCCGGCCGCTGCCTCTGCTGGTCCCCTGCGTCCTGGTGGCGAGTTTTTTTTTCTGGTACAGGGGAGGCCCGTGCCAAGGAACGCCCTCTGCTCGCCTCCGGGGTGCCCCGGGTTCCTTGGGGGATTCTCGGTGGTGCTGCCATAGTGACGGAAGGCGCGATGACACGGCCCCATCCCAGAGGTGAGTGGATGCCCTGGGGTCTCAGGGCTGGGTTTTCTGTGGACTGGCCTCCACTCTGCTCAGGCGATCGCAAACATGGATTAAGGGGTCATGGATGAGCGGCGGGTCCCGTTTCCATGGGGAATCGCGGATTTCCGCCGCCGAGCGGGGCGGCACCGGCCGCATTCTGGGGAGGGCACCTCCCTCGATCCATGGATTCGGCGACCGTGCGCCAAATCCATGGATCGCCAATCCATGTCTGCACGCCCCCGATCTGTACCGCGCACTGCGGCCAGCGTGTTCGTCTCAGATTCGTTTTCCTCTAGGCTTAAGTCGGGCCCGTCCCTCTACAGGAGGGATATTTCATCATAGTCAAACATAGTCACGGGACGATGTTTCTCGATCTATGAGCCTTGTTGGCGTATCTTTTGCGTATTTTCAATTCTTCGCCCATGATCCTGTAGGGGGACAGGCCCGACCCAGCTTTAGGCGCCGAGTGCGGCCGGCCCGCCGACGCAGCGGGCCCGTGCAGAGGCAGCGCGCCGTCCTCCTCGGCCTGCAGCCCCAAACACCGGGCGCCTTCGGGAGCGTGTGGCCGGCCGCCTCGTGCACCGGCGGAGGCGGCGCCCCGGCCTTGGCCGCGCCAGGAGGCAGCGTTTGCCCCTCGCCTCAGGTCGGGCCCGTCCCTCAACAGAGGGAGCCTCATTCCAAACTGAGCAAAACAAGAATGGTCCAGGGGCGATTTGTTTGGTATGCTGGAGCATTTTTGGAGGCTGCGTCTTGTATTTTTTTTTCATTTCGTCCAGAGTCCGCCTGTAGGGGGACATGCCCGACCTAACCCTTGCCTCATGGGATGGCACGTTTCCAGCGCGCTGGGGTTCCCTGCTGTTTTCCAGACCGTTCCAAGAGTCTGCTGCCTGCGGCGGCCCTCCTCAGAGCCCCTCCCCTGCCGCAATCTGGGAGCACTGCTAGACCCTCGTTGCCTCACCCCCTTCCTCTCCATGCATCCTCCCTGCCGCTGACCATTCACCTCCTTCTACCCCCTGCCTTCCCTCCTTCTCTCTCCCTCCCATCTCCTCCCTCCCTCCCTCCCTCCCTCCAAGCACCTCCCCCTCGGGGGGGGTCCACGGCAGGAGAGGCGCGAGGGGGGGGACGGCAGCTTTCGGGGACCATTCTGTCGCCGAAAGCCCCAATCTCCCAACATCAAGATCCTGTTCTCCCTCGTTCTGTATTGCAGCCCTGTCAACGCAAGCACTTGCATGCAGCATGTGTGATGTCGTGCATCGGAACTCCCATCACCATTGAGTCACCATTCTCAGGTCACCGATGGGCACTCCCTGTGCCGGACAGGCCACCTGCCTCTCACGACTGCGCACCCACCATGCATGTGCGAGGTTGCCTCGAGCGGGCGTCCGAGCTTTTTGGTCCGGGGCTCACCCGGGCCGCGCTGCTCCCCCTCTCTGGGTATCCCTCCTCCCGCTTACGCCTCGTGCCCATGCAGGGCGATTGCGGCACCGTCACGAGCGTGAAGGCGGACTCGATTCGGGAGGTGCTGTTCGATGACCAGGACTGGCCTTCTGGCTTTACTCTTCGGGAGGAGCATGTAGGGAGGAGGAAGCGGAGGAGGAGGAGGAGGAGGAACAAGAGGATACATATGAAAAGTAGGACGAGGAGTAGCAGCCTCTTGACAGATTTGCGTTGTCAGTTGTCAAGTGTTCCACGCGCTTGTTTTGATCAGTCTCCAATTGCTCCCCTGCTGGCGTCTACTAATTCTTGATCGGTGTGGGAAGGTGTGGCGTCAACACTCACGCGTATGCTTACGTAGTCCACGGCCAAACATGTGTCGCATCCTGCTAGAAAGTGTTGTTGGACGTACGTGGATGATGGATGCGTGGGCGATGCAGATGATGAACCACACCGGCGTGCGTGCGTGCTTCCTCGACTGTGTTGGTCCGTGACGGCGCGTGCGGATTCATTCAGGTTTGTGGGGCGGCTTGTGACACGTGTTTCTAGACGGAATTACAACTTCCACATACGTGAAATTACAGGTTGTGTTGTTGTCTGAGTTCTGACAAGATGTGCTGACGCAGATGCGAAGCATAAATTCTTGACGCTTCGCGTATCCTTACCAGTGGCCCGCTGGCAATTATCTTGCGTGCTGCCCCATGCTCGATACGAGCCGCTCTCTGGAATCGTCCTTGGAGCCGCAGATCAAAAAAAATATCCTTACCAGCCGTTACGACTTTCGGACGGCGTCCGGCGTCTCCGGTGCGCTTGCGATCAAAAAGTATCCCCACCAGCCCATTTAGAAACGATGCCCATGAGAGCTGAGGGGGGAGAGAGGACGAGACACGCATAGTCAGCCCATTCAGAAGCACTGGGACGTCTGAATGGGCGGGCCATCTCGAGCCGTCTTGGAGCGGTCTTGGGGCCTCGTGGAGTATCTTGGGAGCCATATTGAGCAACTTGGGCTATCTTGAGCCATCTGGGAGGTCATCTTAGGCTATCTGAGGCCGCTCGGGGGCCTCTCGGGGGCCTCTCGGGGGCCTCTTGGATGCCTCTTGGGGCCTCTTGGGGTGCTCTTGGAGCCCTTCCTTTTGGGGGCCTCTTGGGAGCCCTTTTGGGGGCCTCCGGGGGCCATCTTGGAGGCGGTCGGTCAAAAGAGGGTGGGTCCTCGGGGTGTCAAAGATTGGCCCTCCCAGGGGCCGAAAAATGACCGTCTGACACATCGGTCCCCCTCCCCCCAAAAAAACCAGGGAGGGGAGGGGAAGTGTTCCCCTCCCAGAAGGGAAGAGGGGTCGTGGAAGAGGAAAGAGACCCTCCTCAGACCACCTGTCGCCCAGAGGGCTGGTGGGATTTGCGTGCTTGTGCTTGCTCAGATGCCCCATCCACTGACATGCCTGGTGCATGGCCTTGTTCATGTGAGAGGCTTACGTCATTCCGCCGATTCCCAAGAAAGGATTCGTGACGAGGTCCTTTGTTGTTCGCACGACTTAGATATGGCATAGTGGCATAGTGGAAGCTTGAGGGCGTCGAGGGGGCAGTGAGGACAACGGGGACGACCATGTAGCGATTTAGTGCGTAGGAGGAGGAGGGGGAGGAGGAGGAGGAGGAGGAGGAGGAGGAGGAGGGGAAGGAGGAGGAGGAGGAGGAGGAGGAGGAGGGGGAGGAGGAGGAGGGGGAGGCGGGGGAGGAGGAGGCAGGAGGAGGAGGAGTAGGAGGAGGAAGAAGAAAAAGAAAAGCAGGGTGCAGTACTGGGAGGATTCGGGCACTGTGCTCGACGCGCGTGGCCCCGAGCATCTGAGGGCGAGCCTGTGGTTCTCTTGGGGCTGCCGTCGGCGCCAGGGGTGCCGCCCCTGGACTGGCTAGCGATCCTGGAGCTCTTTTTGGGCCGTTCGTGGGGATCTCGTGGGCTCTTCTTTCAGATTTGTTTGAATTTGCTGGGGCGCGTTGGAGCTGTCTGGGAGCCTCATGGAGGCCTTAGGGACTCTCTCCGGGCAAGTTGGGGCCATGTTGGGCTCCTCCCGGGCTCCTTTTTAGGCTCCCTTGTGACCATACTTGGCCACCATGGTGCCATAGCAGAGCATCCGGGGCATGCTGAAGAAGCAGAGGCGAAGCGCCAACATAAGGTATCAACATGTGGCTTCGTCCTGACTTCCCCTCTCGGGAGCTTGCTGAGTAAGCTCTGGTGATCTCGTGGCTTGTGTTGGATCATCCTGACCGGTTTCGGGCCACCTTTTTGTGTGCTGGGCCAAAATGGAGAACTCTGGGGCAGTTTTGGGACGGGGTCTTCATGGCCCAGCAAGCAATGTCGGGAGCCTGCAGAGCTCAGGAGGGCCCCCCACACAAGTGGAGCTCCAGATTTCACCGGAGGGGGAGCAGGGGCGACGGAACACACCATCACCGCACAGACCCCCCGACACCTGTCGAGGAAGCGCAGGCGTGGCTGAAGGCGCGCGGATCGGCGACGGGTCCCCCGTCGATGCACGGCGCGCTCCGTCGCCAGGGGAAGCGGCATTGGCCTCGTGGTTTCGGGGGCGGCTTCCCTCGATCCGTGGATCTGGCGCCCGTGCGCGGACCCCTCAATCAAAGCTGGGACACCTATCGAGGGGGGATCGGGGCATTATGTGGCGATGTGTGGCCGAAGGTGTGCAATTCGCTTCTCCCTGTCATCATATGTATATTTCTTTCCCTTTGCCTCTCTCTCTCTCTATCTCTTTTGTTGTTCTGCATCCCTCTCTATATATCCATGCCGCCCTTCTCTTCTTTCACCAGTAGTGTAGAAGAGGGGAATGCACGCGTATGGAACCAGGAACCGAGGATGGTCCGCCCTGGGGTTGCGGTCCGGTGGGTCCGGTGGGTCCGGTGGGTCCGGTGGGTCCGGTGGGTCCGGTGGGTCCGGTGGGTCCGGTGGATCCGGTGTGTCCGGTGTGTCCGGTGTGTCCGGTGGGTCCGGTGGGTCCGGTGTGTCCGGCGGGTCCGGCGGGTCCGGTGGGTCCGGTGGGTCCGGTGGGTCCGGTGGGTCCGGTGGGTCCGGTGTGTCCGGTGCGTCCTGTGGGTCCGGTGGGTCCGGTGGGTCCGGTGGGTCCGGTGGGTCCGGTGGGTCCGGCGGGTCCGGTGGGTCCGGTGGGTCCGGTGCTTTCTGTGGGTCCGGTGATTGGGTCTGGTGGGTCCTGTGGGTCCGGTGGGTTCGGTGGGTCCTGTGCGTGTGGTGGGCTTTGTAGGTTCGGTGCGTCCGGTGCGTCGAGAACCCTCCTCATCTTCATCATCGTCGTCATCCTCACCATCCTCATCGCCATCATCAGCATCGTCAGTATCATCCAAATCACCATCCTCATATTCATCCTCCTAATCCTAATCCTCTTCATCCTCATCGTCCTCCGCATCGTCATCCTCGTCATCCTCATCCTCATTGTACTCTTCATCCTCATTGTCCTCCACATCGTCCTCATCGAGTCCTCATCCTCATCCTCATTTCTATCACCAGCATCCTCCTCCCCTCACTGTCCTCCTCCTCATCCTTCCTGGAGGCCTCCCGCACGGGGCCGCCCGAGGATGAGGAAGAGCAGCATAAGGAAGAGCCCGAGGAGGAATAGGCGGAGGGCAAATAAGACAATATGCAGCAGCAGCAACAGCAGCATGGCACACAGAGAAGTGGTATACATATGGTGTGAACATGCGAGCGCCATGAGTGAACGCGAACGCGTGCACGAACAGAACTGCCCATGGCAACGCCTCGCTGAGCGGGCGGGCCCTAACGGGCGGGTCGGGTCGGGCGGGCGGGAAATTAAAATACAATGCATCGTCGAGCTAACACGCGCGGCTCCAGGCGGGACGGGTCGGGTCGGGCGGACCCTGGCGGGCTGGGTCGGGACGGGTCGGGCGGGCCCTAGCGGGCGGGTCGAGTCGGGCGGGCGGGCGGACCCAACGGGCGGGTCGGGACTGGCGGGCGGGACATTGACGTATTATGCATCATCTAGTTGGCACGCGCGTGCCCTCGCGGGCGTGTCGGGTCAAGTCGAGCGGACCCTAACATGCGGGTCGGGTCGGGCGGGCGCACCCTAACGGGCGAGTCTGGTCGGGCGGGTGGGACATTAAAGTATGATGCATCGGGTTGGCACGCGCGTACCCTACCCTACGCGGTGATGCATCGGGTTGGCACGCGCGTTAGGGTCGGGTCGGGCCGCCCGGACCCTAACGGGCGGGTCGGGTCGGGCGGGGCGGGGCGGGCCTTAATGGGCGGGTCGGGTCGGGCGGGCGGGACATTAAAGTATGATGCATCATCGAATTGGCACGCGCGTACCCTAACGGGCGGGTCGGGTCGGGTCGGGTCGGCTGGACCCTAACGGGCGGGTCGGGTCGGGTCGGCTGGACCCTAACGGGCGGCGGCGACGACGCCAACAACGACGACGCCGACGACGCCGACGATGACTACGACGCGGCCGACGCCGACGACGACGACGCCGATGCCGAGGGCGCGGACGGGGACGATGACGCCGACGCCGACGCCGACGCCGACGACGACGACTGCGGCGCCGACGACAACGACGACGCCGACGACGACGCCGACGACACCAACGACGACGGCACCGACGACGACGACGACGACGAAGGCGCCGACGCCGACGACGACTCCGCCGACGACAGCAACGGCGGCGGCGACGCCGACGACGCCGACGACGCCGACGACGTTGACGCCGACGACGCCGACGACGCCGACGACTACGACGCGGACGACGCCGACGGCGGCGGCGACGACGACGGTTGAACCGAACGGGCGGACCCTCACCGAAGAGGTCCTCCCGAGGCCGCACAACAGGGTCTGCCGAAGCATATCTGCCGACGCGGACCTGCAATTCGCGCGCTCGGAGTAGCCCCTGGCGGACCCCGGACGAAAAGTACCCGGCTGATCCCCGGCGGAATCCCGGTCAACTCCCCGAGAACGCTCCAGGAGAGGACCAGCACGGCTCGGAGACGTCCCAGTCGCCGAAAGATCGCCCCATGTCGGCCACGATGGCCTCCAGACGGCCTCAGACGCCGAAGAAGCCCCGAGAGAGACACAAGAGG